CGGCTGATAAAAATGTAGTTAGGTTAAGGATTAATCATGGGTGGTCACGAAGAGAGTATGCCATCCCATTTTTCCATCCCATAATGTCAAATTTTCCTTATGAAATCACCATGCATGATCTCCCGGAAACAATCCAATGCTCACCCGCATCTTACTCATATGCAGTTGCCAACCATATGTCTTATTTAAAGGAGAACACACATCACTCTTAAAGTATGATTTATTTTCTATTCAAACTCTATTTCTTACTTTCTTAGTGACTTGAACATCAAAGTGTTAACCTTGTAGATCATCCTTCATTCCACCGCATCAGAAGCCTAAAATCATTACAACTCATTGGGGATTCCTCTTTATCGGTATTTACACAGTTCTATAGCAGAATAGGAAGTATGAAAAATACTCATCAAAATATGACCAATCATATTGAGGGCACAAAAATCAAGGTTCCATGGAGGGATACACTTGCAAATAAGTTTAAGGGATCTGAAAAAGACGGTAATACAAGAGATATAGATTATATGACACCATATAAAGGTAATGAAATGGATATCACAGTGGTGACTGGACAATAATTGGTTAGATGTAATTAATAAGTGGCAGTTCTAGCCGTTATAGCATGCATGTCTAAATGAGAACTCTTTAGTTGGAACATTAGAAATACATCATCTAAAGGATGGAGAAATTGAGTGTACGTGTATGTGAGTGTGTGTGTGTGTGTGTATGTGTGAGGGAGAGAAAGAGAGAGTGAGTGAGAGAGAGAGAGAGAGAGAGAGAGAGAGAGAGAGAGAGAGAGAGAGAGAGAGAGAGAGAGAGAGAGAGAGAGAGAGAGAGAGAGAGAGAGAGAGAGAGAGAGAGAGAGAGAGAGAGAGTGTGTGTGTGTGTCTGAGAGAGAGAGATAGAAAGAGAGAAATAGAGAGATAGAGAGAGATAGAGAGATATAGAGATAGAGAGAGATATGAAGAAGATGTTCACCATCCATCTTAGTTTAGTTTTGATGAAGGTAGAAGCTTATCAAAGAAGGAAAAGTTTGAATCCAAGAATCAAGAATGCATAACTGTATGGATATTTTGAAAGAAAAGGAATTTGATCATGAAGAAATGTATTAAATGTCAATTCATTCTATATAAAGCTTTAGGTGCTCAAAAATCTTCATATCTTCTTCACTAAAGTTTTCCCAAACATTCATGTTTCAAGACATTTCATGCCAAGTCTTTTAAAAAGCAAAAAATCAAGTTTTACTTGAGTTCAATCGATTGTAATATTCATGCAATCGATCACACTATTCATTATGCTTGTTAAATTTGAACTTATTTTGTTTTTAGCTAATTGTGGCTGTTGAAAACCGCTGTAATTCACGTATTTTTGAAACAATATTTAAATTAGAATTTATTATGTTTTTGGTAAATTATGGCAGTTAAAACTACCATAATTAGCTTATATTTGTTTCGGTTAGAAATTTAAAAATTGTTCTGCACTTTTAAATTAGGTATCCGTTTAACTGATTTAAGAAATCATGTACATAATGCATATTTATATTTTTTGTCATGAACCATTGTCATTCTAAACTATTGCAAACCTTCATAAAAATGTCTTAAACTTGTGCATCAATTCATAGAGGTTTCTTAGGATATATTTAAGACGAAATACTTTCGTTTTCAAATAACCTATTTCATTATTAATTTTTTGCATCAATTCAAATTCTTTTCAAGTGTACTTTCTCAAATATAATGGAAACTTTTTATATATTATAAAAAAGTTTCATCAAATCTTTTAGCACTTAAGTTCTATCTAATTGTGAATAGTTTATTGAAAAGGGAAGATCAAATTTCTAAATATTAGAAAGTATCCAAGATCATTGTTACTCCAAGTATTTTTATCATATTTATATAATTAATCACCAAGTGTGTGGTAACTTAATTTGTAAAGAAAGTGTGTATACTTTCTAAAAGTGTTTACAAATAGAAAGTAGTATATTTTCGATTTGTGTTGTAAAAGGTTCTTTGATTGGGGAGATTCAAAGTCTATCATAGTGTTGGTGTTTGTAAAAATGTCTTTTAAAATGGGTTGTTTCAAAGTCCACTATAGGTATAGTATTTATGTTATAAGATTGTAGGAGAGCTCTAGTTTAAGGTTGTATAAATATCTAACATAGTGGAAATCTTTCATGGAAATAGTATAACTCTTGTGTCTCTTTTACTTTTCTGCACTTCATTTTTCTGCATTTTTGTTCTGAATTATTCATTATAATTCTGAAAAATAAAAATGAAAGAATAATTATTTAAGAATGAAAAAAATCATAAAACCGAATTTATCCCCCTCTTAGGTTGCACTTTATAGTTACAATTGGTATCAGAGCAGATTAAGGTAACTTTCTCCTAGATTTAGGATAAAATGGCTTCTGTAAACCTTTCTTTAGAAAATGATCAAACATTAATAGATCACCAGGGTTTACCGGTGAATGCTACGATATTTGGAAGATTAGAATACAAATTTTTTTAGAAGCACATGTGTAGAAGTTTGGAATATTGTAAAAAATGGTCATTTCATTCCTACTACAATTATTAATGGAAAAAGTCAACCAAAATCATAAGAAGAATGAAATGAAGAAGAGAAAAAAAATTTCTACACGACAATACACTCTAGGAATGGATCAATTCTTTCAGGTGTCTAATTGCAAAACAACAAAGGAAATGTGAGAAATATTGAAATTCAACAACAAGAAGGATACAAAGTCAAGAAGAACATATTATCGCTTGAGAAGAAAATAATTTGAGTACAAATTCTAAAAATGAAGAACAAATTTATCTATCTTTCATGATTTCAAATCACTCTGATGATGATCCTGGGGTTAATGGTTTTTACTCAATTAATAAACTTTCTTATGATGAATTACATGATGCTTTTAATGATTTATATGATAAATGTCTAAAATTTTCTAAATTAAATGTTAAGCAAAAGAAAATTATTTCTTCTATAGAAAGTAAATCTAATGACATGCAAGAAGAGTTAGATAAAATTAAAGTAAAAGTTGACATTCATTCTAGTTATTCAACATGAGATAAATGTATATCTCTTGAATCCAAAAGTGTTGATGTTAATCAAGTTATATACAATTATGAAAAAGGAAAAATAGTTTGGAAAATGTTCTAAGTTGTCAAAGATATATTAATGATAAAAGTAGATTAGGACATTCTAAATTTCAAAATTTTAATCAAATAAAAAAGACTATCTTTGTCAAATCTAACAATATTTGTTACAATGTTCAATCTAAAAAGTATATCATATTGTTCATCTAAGAAAGACATATAATAAAAATTATTTCAATAATAACAAAAATACGCCTAACATGATACATATTTGTTTTTATTGAAATTGTAAAGGTAATACCTCTAATGCATCTTATATTAAAAATATTGGTGTACCTAGCAGCAATTATGTATGAGTTGGAAAAGGAACTAATCCAAAAGGACCCAAAGAACATTGAATATCTAAAAGTATTATTGATTGTTTCTTGTAGGTGCTTAGAAATCATGTAATAAAATTATTAAATTAAGATTGATTGTACAAGATACAATAAGACCATATGATATGTTAAGATTAAAGTTTCATTTGGTTGAAGATGAATTGAAAAGATTGACACTTTCAAAGAGTATCTCATTAGTATCAACATAATCATTTTAGAAGAGCATCAACATTGACATCAAATAATTATGAAGAAGATAAATACTTTAATATATGATGTATTTTTTTTCTTCTATATTATCTTACTTTCAGTTTTACTCTTTTTCTTTTTGATAATATTAAAAAGAGTGAGAAGAGATGACTGTTTTTGTTAATTTTCAAGATGCCAAAGGCAAAGTATAAATTGCAAACTAAGTGGAATGATATACAAAATAAGGAGAGTATTAAGTGTCAAACAAAAACTTTCCGTAAAGAGAGGATCAAATTATCGAGGAATAGAGTAATCATTCATCTCAAGAACAAAGAGAAAGAAACACACTAGTCATCATAAAAATGTAGTTTAACTCTATAACTACCTCGATGTAGGTGATCATTTAGCCCAAAGACACTCAAGATTGATTGGCCTAACACACATTCCCACAAATTTATCAACCATTTGGACATGAAATTGACCGTTTAAAACAATTATGAATGGATGAGTGAATTGGTTTAGTTATACTCTTATTTTTTATTTTGTTTCAATTTTAATTTTCACTTTTATTTTATTTACTTTTCTTTTACATGTGTCAGGTCTAGCACGCATTTTTGTAAAAAAACATTTTTATATTTTTCAAAAAAAAAATTTTAATTATAAAAATAAATAAATTAAAATGAATAACTAATATTTCATATGTTTAAAATAGTATTCTCTTTGTTTTATATTATAAAAAAATATATTTTATAAATTTATTGAGTAATTAATATATTTAATTTATATATTAATTAGATATTAATTATTCAATAAATTTATAAAATAATTTTTTTATATTATAATATGGAACAAAGTGAGTAATTAATATGTTTTCATAATGTCATTTCACTTTCTATATTACTAAATAAAAGATTAACCCTTAAGATTATCTTTCTTTAAAACGTTATCCTGTTTTTTTTAAAAGTCACGTTTTACAGGAGATAAAAATAATTTTAATTTTAAAAAATAACTATTTTTATTTCAAAAAAAAATCCTACACGGCCATCATGTTATACTATTATGGGTAAAAATCAAATTTTTTAATTTAAAAATAAAAAATACTATTATGGGTAATTTTGTTATGGCCAAGAAAAATTAGTGAACATCCTTAAATTTCGGTGTTTGCACATTTGTAATCTATATTAAATTAGAGGTAGCTATAATTTCCTAAATGGCTAATTATAGAGTGAAAAAAGTATTAAACACATGCAATCCCTAAGTTTTAAACACATGCAATCCCTAAGCAAAATTAAGTTGTGAATAACTTATGTCACCAAACTTGTTATTTGCAACTTAACTATATATCAATATGACAAAGACAATGTTGGTTGTGTTCTTCAGTGCCCTGTTGGTTTGCTCTTTATTTACACAAGGTGTTGATGCCAGAAGTATTGGTTATGGTGCAATGAGAAGAAACACTATTCTATGCAGCAAAAAAAATCCTTTATTCTGTAAACGAATTCCAGCCAACCCATATAATAGAGGATGTGAAAAAATAAACAGGTGTCGCGGTAATAAAAGAGGATAAATAAGAACACAAACAACAATAATAACATGTAACTCATTACAAAAAATTATTAACTTTGTCACATTATATATATAATAACATGTAACTCATTACAAAAAATAATTAACTTTGTCACATTATATATATATATATATATATATATATATATATATATATATATATATATATATATATATATATATATATATATATATATATATATATATATATATATATATATATATATATATATATATATATATATATATATATATATTTCATTTTAATCTTTTTTATATGAGATATTTTATTCTTTTAAACTAATGAATAACTAATGTATCAATTATATATAAATAAGATATATATTTTTCGGTCATATTTACAAGTAATAAATTTTTTTTCTAAATTGATGTATCTGATATAAAATAGTGATCAGATATATTATTTATTCAATAAATTTAAAAAAAAATTTATTTCTTATAAATGTGTCTGGAGGGTGTATTGATTATTGGAGGATATATTGGTTATTCAGGTAAAGTAAAATATAAATTGTTTTTAAAATAAATAAAAAACAAAAGTAAAAGTTAGATCGTATTTAATGTATTATTCACTTATATATAAAATTATTAATGATACGTTAAATATTTATCAATGTTTTCTTATTAAAAAAATTAGAAAATAAGAGAATTTAATATAAACTTGATCTAACCGTGAATCTTACTATTTTTTGATAAATTTTAATAAAATATTAAATTTATTCACCTTCTTTATTATTATATAGTATAAAAGTTGTCAAAAACGATTATTGTAAAATCCACGTTTTTTTTCCAAAGTTGTGAGAATCCACTTCTAAATAATTTTAAGAGGTGGAAATCAATCACATTTTGCGTAATGTAAATTTATTTTATTACAAATAATTAAATGTTTAAAAAATATTAAAAATAATTATACTAATAAACAGAAAAAAATCAACTAATGTGGTCTATCTCTCTCATTTTGGTATTCAAATTTAACAATTTAAGTATATTTAATAACATGACATTTGTAAAACGTGATAAATTATTATAAAAATTATTGTGAAACTTGACATGTCACTAATATATAACGTTAAATAATTTTTTTTAAATTTTAAATGCAAAAGTATGAGATTAGGAAAATTACCTTAGTGAATGAGCTAAAATATGAGACCAAAATTATAATTAAACTTTTATCTTTTAATTTGCAGTAATTATTTTGAGTAGAAACTCCAACCAAAATCAAAGTAGTTTAGAGGTAGTATGAGCAAGATCACAAAATTCAGCCTCACCGTTTGACCATGACACTAAAGATTGTTTCTTAGAGTTTCATACAACTAAATTTGGTTTAAAGTAAACACACGAGCTTGTCGTGGAACACCTGTCATCTGGGTTACTTCCCTAATCTGAGTACTATAGGCGCGAAGTGTGAAACTCTGATCTGAGAGCTGGCGCTAGAATGAGATCACGTAAGGTTGTGCCCCTTAAATACCTTAAGACGTGGTTACTATATTAACAATGGCTTTCAAGTAAAGTAGCTATAAATTGACATGCTTTATTGACAGAAAAGGCTAAACCATATTGTGTTAATGTCACGTAGTGAAAAGCTCTTACAATAGACTTGTATAGGTGAGAATCATGGAACCTATTAGTATAATTTTTACTTATTTGCAATGGATGAACATAGGTGTAAATAAACCTTTTGCATCAAGCATGTTGGCTCTTAACAAAAGGTCTTTCATACACCAATATTGTGTTAATAGCATAGAAATGTTAGCTTGATAAGTAATCTTAATGTCAATGAAGTAGATAGGTTTGCCTAGCTTCTTTAGAACAAACTTAACATGAAGTTTGTTAATGAGGTCGTGTATCAGTTTGGAGGAAAAACTGGTTACCAGAGTGTCATATACATAAACTAAACAAAGTGAGGCCTTGAAAAGTGATCGCAATCAGGGTTTTAACAAATGGTCCACGATCGCGAAAATGGCAGCGAAAAAATGGTTTTGGAAGATGCTGATACCGATATCGTTATCATTGTTTTCTATATTAAAGAACAAATTATGGTTAATTCACACCGTGACGATCACAATTAATGTCGCGACACCTATACCAACCGAGATCGTGAAATCCTTTACGCTACCGTGATGCGACCACAATCGTTTTTTAAAACCTTGATCACAATACTATGTGAAATTCTGGTAACAGATGTCCTATGATATATCGAGACATCTGATCTGACTTAAATATTACAACAAGGTATAAACAATTAAAACTAGTACTGAAAAGCATAAATAACACACAAGAATTGTTAACCCAGTTTGGAACAACCTTTCTATTCTGGGAGCATACCAAGCCAGGGATAAGTCCACTAAACTAATATCAATTCATAGACCCTACAACAAACCTCCAGTTTATGGCTTAATTAATTAATCAATACCCTTGCTAGACTTCTATCTAAGACTCACCTAGATATGAGACCCTCCTCAATCCCTCTTCAATCACAAACAACGATTGGATCAAAACAGGAAGACACACTTCTATGACGGTAAAACAGAAGATACACTTCCATAACAATACTTAGCCAAGACTCTTAACTAATAACACAACTTGGAGTTACTTATAATCTTCCTCTAAGAATAATACTCAACTCATTACCTACAGGTTTCTGAGTGAGAACATAGTGACCATCTCACAACCCGAGTGGTTCACTTACACCAACTCTCCTAGAGAGTGGCTACGGACTCAGCCATAATGATTACATCTTTACAATTCTTGGTTGTTCCAAATCATAGGTTATAATGTTTCTATTTATAACCTATACTCAACTAGATTTGGGACTTCAAAATACAGCTCTTTGGCTATTACATATCAGTAGTAACTTCTGTTACAAACAAGGTCTTCAATCATTGGTTTCCTAAAATATCTTCATGTTTAGAAACTACATATTCTTCAATATTATGACTTAATTCTTCTTGACCTTTAAATCAGTGCCACATAATATTGCATAATATTCTCATAATATTCTGCATTTGTTAAATCATAATTGAATCCACTAATTCAGCTCAGCTCGGGCGTGATATCGTATGTTCTTTCATAGGATATCTTATCCGACATGTTGCTCCAGATGTTAAAATACTTCAACTCAACATGTCCCAACATAAAATAGGACTTCTTGCTCAACCTATTCTTCATAACAAGATAGCACATCCTATTTAGGATATTGCTGCTATATTTGTTTTATAAAAATTAATGCCAACCTTAAAATTAATGACCTTACAATCTCCTCCTTTGACAAATTTTGGCTAAAACAAATACATTAAAAATTGCAACCCAATATTACAACAATAAACAAAAATATCCACCAACAGTAGTCCTCAGAAACTACTGAACATAGCAACCCAACATCATGGAGTTAGTCTTCAATAAAGATGTCGGGACATCTTTGTTCGACATCTTCTATTGTAGTGGTAACTTCAACACCAACAAACAACACTTTCAAGAAAAGGAGTAGAAAGTCCTGAAGTATGTTGGTGTACATGAGGAAGAAGATAAGAATCACTCCCCCTCAAACCAGGACATCTTTAAAAGACCAATGATGGCATAAGAAGGATCAATGATGGAATAAGAGAATCCCTTCTTATTTGATGATCAGCAACCACCAGTAGACCTAGACAAATCAACCACCACCCCTGATAAATCATAACACATGTCACAATTGTATTCACAACTCAGATCATAGGTCACAAAACCAAAGTACAAACCACAAGATAGAACATGTTGTTCGACATTTGTGTACAACATCTGGAAATGCAGACTCTAGACAGACCCTCTGAGCAAACCCTTTCTCCCCCCTTTTTTCCAAAAATTGACAAAGGAAGCCTTCATAGAACTAAACCCAGGCACAACTCACCCAGACCCGAACAAAACCCATAGCTATAATGGATACACCAAACATTCCACAGTCAAAGAGGATAGGAGAAACCTCTATAAATAGCTGAGCAATTACTTAGGAATCAACGATCTTGAATGATGCAATGTTCTTGGTCAAAGGAAACATTAACTTAGGAGAAAACTACTTCTAAAATCAATGCGCACTGTTCAAAACTGCTTTGAATGTCTTTATTAGCTCTGGACTGTTTCTGCTGAAAAGAAATAGTCTCAATACATGCACATGCACATTCAAACATACTTTATACATTCTCTTCAAAAACGTGTTTGGTCATACTGTCCACGTAACTTCTTTGTTGATAACACTGGAAACATGTCCTGCATAATGTCCTGATATCCAATCAGACATTGTCTTCTTTCTCTTGAAAGCCCAAACCTGTGACCGTCACCACTTCACCCATTAGTTAAAGAAATGATTCTAAAAAACACACATGTTCTAAAGAATACCCACAATTCCTTTAATTGGACTTTAAGTGTTCTCTATTAACTTAGACTTAGTGACAACACCTTAAACATCATAATATCACATATGTGACATCTCTCAATAATAAGGACCCCTAGAGAGTCCTTCCAAAATCTGTAGAGAAAAGTAAATTCTCCCAAACATAACTATTGACCACTAGAGAGATATGTGTACTTCTGATTTAATCATCTGGCCTCATATGCCTTAAGTCAAACATGCCCTTTCAAGACCTTTAATTACTTCATTATGTCATAACATGTTGTCTGACATAACACCCTCATAAGAGGCATGAACTCTCCATAATCTTGAAATACACACAAGCTTCATCGAATTTTCAACAATCAATAGATAGTCACTTGACTCCCCGTGTCATGGATAACCAGTGCTCTTACTGGGAAAAACTATTCTAGTACCAGAAGATCACACATGAGAGACTTCATGCTCTTCAGCTTCACACAACTGCTAAACCCTTCCACACATGTTGCCATGATTCTTAGAAGGCCAAGACATTATGCACTCTACTCCAACAGAAATCTCAATTTGCTTAAAAGCTTTACTGAGAGTCAGACAAACACCCTGGTCAGAATAAGAATACC